CCTTAGATCCTAATTTATATAAATGAATCATAGTTTCATTCTGGGAATTGAAGTCCACACATCTTAAAGTCGCCGAGGTTGAGAAACACTGTTTTAGATTAAAACTCTTTCCTGTCCCACTGTTGGTGGAGTTACAGTAGTTTGCACAAGATAGTTAGTCTAACCACCCAGCTTTGTGCCTGGGGTGAACAGGGGCAGGACTGGCATCGAGATAGCTGGATCAAGGGAACTCGGTGTAAAGCAACTTAGCATCATAGGGTGGGAAGGGATCTTTGAGGTTATCTAGATCAACCCACCGCCCAGGCAGGAATCTCCTTACACCCCAGACCAAGGCTCTCTAATCTTTGCTAGAAACCTCCAGGCACGGAGTCCCCATGGCTCCAGCTGTTTCACTGCTTCATCTTCAGCGCTCGCAGTTAGGCGATTCCTCCGTAATTCGAATTTGGCTCTCCCTCTGTCAAGCTTCCACCCTCCGACGCTACAGAGAACAAATCCACAGCGTCTTCCCTGGGATGGCCCTTCAAGTATCCGAAAGCCGCTCTCACGTGCCTTGGTGCGACGGATGCTTTATGAGGACTAGAAACTTGACCTTTAGTGGAAAGGTGGAACAGACGCTCGGCAAGCAGGAGGAACCAGGCCCAGGCTCCCCCGTGAGCCATTTCCCAACAGGCCACACCCCATTCGTCCTGCCCACTCTTTGGGATGTGGCTGAAAAATCACCCAACGGGCAAATGTGGCTCTTGGCCCATCAAGGTGGATAGCCCTGCTAGAGGAGGATTGCAAGGCTTTTCCTCTGCATCTATTTTTCTACGCTTGCTGGCATCCTCCGAACATTTAGAAAAGGCCCATCTCCGGCGTCCTGGTTTTTATTCAGCCGCTGCGCACCTCTGCCCTTCCTCGTTTTCCTGGCAATTACTGCCCGATAATTGCATTTAATACCAGCCCACCTTACCTTCCTGGTTGCTAAGGAGACCACGAAGGTCAAAAGCCCGTTCTTGAAAGGGTGATCAGGCCAGGGGTGGGGGGAGAAATGCACATTAAATTGCCTGGCATAGCGGCGCGGGCAGGAATTCTTGAGTTTGCCTCCACCTGGCAAGCTGGAGCTCCGGAGCGCTCCCGGGCTGCTGGACGCGATGAAGCTGCCTCTGGCCGCTCACGGTGGTGCTTAGCCCCAAAGCAAAGGGATGCAACATTTGTGGCCCCCCAGGAATGTTTGCAAAGAGGAAAGCCTTCCCTCGGGGCCCCATGGGCTGGGTGGGGCCCCTGGAAGGCCAGATCAGGCCCTGGGGGACCAGCGGCTTCCCATGCCTTTGAATTATTTGGACCGGGTTGTAAAAGGGACCCGCCGCCCTCAAAAGCAGGTTTTTCTCTGTTCTCACTAGTTTAGTTTTTGTCTTTTCCTTTCAGTTGTATCTTCCTTCTTTTCTGTAGTCTCTGATTTGTATTTCAACTGTGCTCTTTATATATCTTAATACAAGTTTTAAGAAAAAAGAAAGCAGGTTTTTCCGTGGCCGCTTCGAATGCCAAACACCGAAGAAAGATTCAGCCCTGTTTTGAAAATTGGCGTGGGCTGTAATGCTAAAAGAGCCAGAAATTGAGTGGATGATGGATACTAGTTCGGGGCGGCGTCAGGGAAGGGGGCGCACAAGAGTGAAGGCCGAGCCGGCGACCCCCTGAATCAAGTTGGCGTTGGGGGAAAAATAAATTAAAGGGGGGGAGAATCTCCTATCTCTGGGTCTTCTTTACCAGATGGGTTGGCTCCTGCAAATAATTAGATATGATGGGCTGGGAATCCACGTTTGGCCTGATCTAGCCAGGGATCTTTACTAGCTAAGAATAAAGCCTCCCTATACAAGAGCAGTCTGCCTCTCAAGTACAGCCCAGGCGAATCAAGGAGAAGAAGGGTCGTTTCCCTTGCTCCCTGCCAGCATGTTTTTCAAAAATGCTGGCAGGTCTTTATGGGAAACAGGATGTTGAACCGCTGGAAGGGTTGGCCTTGTTTCGGCCCTGATTCCAGTTGATCCAGAGCGGATCCAGATGTCCCCCAGATTCCCGTCTCCAGCTGGGACTCACCCCCAACACCCTGTCCGCCCACTGCATTAAGCGAGGCTGTTCCGTTTTTAAAAACCTTCTCCGCTGCCTTGTGTTCATTTATCTTTTATTTGGCTAATGGTCTTGATTGGGGTTGTCCCCCGGGGGGGGGAAACAAATAAGTAGCGGTTGCGAAAGACATGGGAATAAACATCAGGGCTCGCCAAGCACTGCTGATACGTTGCGACTGGGGGACGGCGACCTTGCCAAATTGACTTTTTGGAAATTGATTTGCAATCTGCCGAGAATTCCAGAGCCGTGGGAAGGGGTTGGGATTGTGGGAGTTTAAAACTGAGCTCCGTGCATCTGCGATTTTCTCTCTTCTCTATTTATCCATCCATTATCTATCTATCTATCTATCTATCTATCTATCTATCTATCTATCTATCTATCTATCT